TAGTATTACCGAATCATAATATGCACTTTCATTAGTGCCAGGTGCCAATGGGCATCCATGGCTATCCAGTTTCTGTACCAGGATGTGATCAGTTGACATTGCATATGTAGTAAGTGTAGCCAGAAACAGCACATAAAGACAAAAATCAGTAGCGAAGAGACAACGGGCAAATTTTCTCCTGCAAAGAAATTACAATTAAAACACTTATGACACTGACACAAGTTATGAAAATACAAACTACGAAAATTAATAAAGCTATAGTAATTAATATTGAAATCATGAATTAACGAAGAGGTTGAAGTGGAACATAATACATGCCGAACATATTGTATTTAATCATAATAGTTGATATTACGAAACTTCATTATGTTTGTGATATGTCGACAAAATTTAGTTGAAAACCTTTTCAATTTTAAATAACTTGAGAACTAGCACAGTTCGCGAGTTACACTGATCCAAACCTGACGCATTGCGCCGTTTATTGTTTATCTTCACTGCAATAAATATTGTCATGCATTGGTCATGGAATTCTGCTTCGGGCGCGTCAAACACAACTAAACTAGGAAGCATGTTCGTTTGTACGCGGTGATAAGATGAGTTAAATAGTCGTCCTGTAAACGCAGAAGAGAGAAGCCTAATAGCTCACCGAATCCTGCGTCAAACACAGAATCCTGCGTGCGATTTGACGACTTATATGACACCCTAAAATTCTGCAAGGTGATGTTCGGTTATTGACAAGGCTAATATATCTTGCGATTATCGTAGCTGTTTATTACAGTATATTAATTAACATGTCAAGGCATAACACAGCATAATTTTTCCGACGATACAAGGTTAACTCATTTCTGTAAAATAGATTTCTTACATTGTGGGAAGTTTAATTGTGGTATGAGACACAGAGACTGTTGATCTGATTGGTGGAATGGCCCATCATAACTTACCATTTGTAATTTAAAAGAGTTCTACAAAGGTCGTGTCTGAGCAAATCTTCTCGGCCATATTTAACCATAGTCTAAAAAATCAGAAAATATACGCTAATATATTATAATGATACTAATAAAAAATAACGATAATATAAAACGCAAACAGGGAAAAACAGCAATACCGTTAAAGCGCACCACCTCTTGTTTAATCGTTTAGTTGAGGGAGAATCCGGTCCGGGGTCGATGTGTTGATAATTATATGTTATCTGGAACGAGGAAAACGGATATAAATAACATATAAATTATTTGTTACTATAACCATATATATATATATATATATATATATAATCTCGCTTTTTACTTTTTAAATTTGTTTTAAATTCGTGTAATAACAAGTCATATCATTACACGGTGATCGTCTGTGAGTGCATTCGCATATGTGTCACATTGTACATACTAACAGGGGAAATATTAAAAACAAGTGGCGGATTAAAGCTAATGTTATAGTTATGTACCAAATTTGAAGAGAAAAAAACATCAAGGAAATGTGCGAAGTTTGAACTTGATCGGTCAAAGTATGTCCTAGAACTCAGGATGTACATCTGAAAATTACCACAAAATGACGTGTGTCAGGTTACTATTATGTCCATTGTTTAAAAATACATATGCATGACCGAGTTCTAATTCCGGCATGGTAGAAATACTCGGTTTTGGTGAATTTTAGCACTGAAATTGCGCTCATTAGCTTCACATGAGAAACCAGTTACAGGGGCATATGTGTAACATGTGTTTGAACATGAATAACCAAGACATGTCGGAGATACTACGGCTCCAGAATTGCATTAATTAACAAAAAAAAATTCACCATCGGTCATTGTGAATTCGATCTGTAAAACAATGTGATAGTGTGGACTTGGACGGTGTTATATCAATAGTTGCGATATATTGTTTGCATACTAGTAGCATAGTACTAGTATGCTTGTCTACTTACCCTGAGGTTTGGATTGGTTCTATCTGAGTGTGAATATCGAACACATTTATCTAAAACCAACATAGCTACATCAGGCAAACGTTCTATTAGCCTGTTGAGTGACGTGTGTCCATCTGGACCGATCTGTGATACTACGTCTTGCCACCTTTGTAAATATATAGAAAATATTATTACAACTTCGCCTCACAAACATTCCATTTATCAATGCTTTAGTAAACAATGCCGGACCATATGCCATCCGATGATTGCGGCAAAGATGGTTATTTATTTAAATTTACTAATGATATGTGAGTTGAAGTTAACAAATGAAAAATGGCTCTTTCTATGAGAGATCTTTATATAATTACTTGCGAAATGCGTGTATAATTTCAAAAAACGTGTCATTATACCATGTACCTTTTGTGATTGACAATGACGGCTGCTGCGTCTTCTTGGAGATTAGATGTGGCAATATCTAAACAGTTTTCAAATTTGTCATTTAGTAGGGTGGGATTAGCAGCACCTTTCTCCAATAAAATCTTGGTACATCCAGAATTCCCATTTGCAGCACTCAAATGTAAAGATGTGTTCTAAGATAAATGTAAACATATGCAGTCATGGTTAACAAACGGTATAGAAACTACGGTACTTGAGAACGTGATTTCGATATTGCGCACAACACACATAATATCCTACCCTATTTTTGTCAGTAGCATCTATTTCGGCATGATTCTTTATTAAAATTTTAACTACATCTGAATGTCCTTCTTTAGAAGCAATGGCGAGAGCCGTACGCCTGTGTTCGTCTCTGAAATCAGAAAGTTATATAGTCATCTATATTTAAATAAATCACAGGAGTGAACAGTTTTGTTTGATACACAGTTTCGGGAACTGCTTTATTTGATTATCTCTATGATTGATAAGCGTAAGGTGCCACGCGTGAGGCAGAGTGCTGACTCTTTTCATAACACTATATACAACTCACTGGCTGTATGCTTTGAGACCCAATCATCGCTTTTACTGGTCATCTATGACGGTTTGTGACTGTTTCGGATAATATATTTGAATATAGTTTTGTTAAGATGTTATTTCTTTCTGGATTGGCTAAATTAACATAACTATATTTTTCTTACCGACTTGCAATGTCAGCTCCAACTCTCAGCAAATGTTGAACAACTTTGGCATGGCCCTCTGCACTGGCAAGTAATAATGGTGTTCGCCCATCGGCCTCGTCATCGTTTATTCTGGTGGGACAGGCTTTAGCAAGTGACATGACACACTCTAACCTACCATTCCTGAAACAAATACAGTGGTATAAATTAAATATACGTTGTCTACGACACATTTCTGTTACAAACCTTAGGTTCTAAAAGACGCCAATCACAGTGAATGGCACGGTAGTAGGTCACTGCGTGGCAAAACGACCACAGACCTTTAAAAGTCGGTAGTCGTTGCGCCACGCATGCGCTAGATATATCATATAAACAAAGTTGGCGACTTTGACTGTTGCACAGATCAACGAGTACAAACTGAGACGTTACTAAGCTTTAATTAAATATTTTTTAGGTGATTGGAAGGTATCTAAAGAGTCATCGGCGGTAATTAGTACAAGTCGCGCCAAGGTCAAACGTCATACTTGTGATTTCCATTAGAAGACTGTGAGAAAATCAATGTTTATCAATACAAATGTCGCACATGCGCCGCGCGACGACTACCGCCCTTTAACTATGTATCGAAAGTCGACAATATGTGAAATATTCAATATAAGTGACGTACTCCGATGCTGAGTGTAAGGGCAGCTTCTCTTCTATACACTTCGTGTCAATTTTAGCCCCTCTGCTGATCAGTAGATTAAGAATCTGAAATTTGACAAAAGAGAAAATCGTCTTTAATTTGAAGGAATCGCCGTAGATCATTCAATGATTAAAGTGCGTACAGTGCTATATGTGCAGTCGCCAATAGTTCAATCACTGCACACATATATGTTAATTCACCTTAACGTTCCCTGACTCGGCGGCATAATGAGTGGCAGTCTGGTCTTTTTTATCCTTCTCATCCAGCAAGATAGAACCTGAGTTATCCAGCAACATTTGAGCAAAATGGAAATGGTTTCCCTCAGCAGCCCAATGAAGACAGGTTTTTGATTCACGGTCCTTCACAGATATATCAGCACCAACTTGCAGTAAATACTCAGCGGCCGCACATTGTCCTTTCCATGAAGCGGCAAGAAGTGGCGTAAACAGTTCCAAATCCTGAGTCTCCAAACTAGCTCCCTGGAATTAGTGATTAAAAAGTAACTGTCAAATATTAACTCCCAATCTCATTTATATGACCGTTGATACAAACCTCATTTTGTGACCATTTGTGATCCGATGTTACGATATGCATACATAAGTACATTTACTCACTTGTTGGATCAGCAATTGTATAACTTCCATTCGACTATACAGGGATGCCCTGAAGAAAAATGCAGTTACGTTATTGTGCTGTGAATATATTATTAAATAATGTTAACTAGGCCAATACTATAATCCACATATTCCTACCTATGCAAAGGTGTCATTTGTTCTTCATCTTTGGCATTGACTTTGGCACCTCGTGAGATCAGCATAGAGGCCATTTCCGCATTTCCGGTGACCGAGGCGATATGTAGGGCAGTGTGGCCATTAAATTTCTTGGAATTAATATCTGCGCCCTCGTCAAGGCAGTATTCGGCTGCCTGCAGAATCAAGGGAATATTCAGGTCGATTTAGCCACAATTGTAAGCAGTAATCGACTTTAGTATTTTTTTTGAATGTATGTAAACATCTTCCCTGTGTTCTGCATTGCTGTACTCCAATCATGGTATAATTCTGATTATTTCCAGCTTTGGTGAGATACAGTATTTGCTTATGAGATCTCCACTTTTAAGTTGCGGCATGCGATTGAAATGTATGAAAACCGGGAATGTGTAATCTTTATATTAATGTAGTTGTTCATTATTGAAATTGTTCACAGTGTGTTTTTGAATTTATTTGCTCTTGGTTTTCGAAATAATATTGCATTTTCGCACTGTATTCAGTTCTCACATCGCTTACTGAGATATTTATAAGTGGCGATAGTAGTTCCGTCTAAGTTAACAGTTATATGGACCATTTTTGTATACAGTACTAGGGGAATAGATAGGGTCTACTTGTTTGCAAACGAGAATGATTGTGTCTGTCAAAAACAGTAATTAAACCATGTTGTTAAATGCGTAACTGATTAACAGTCTCATTCCAAGAAGCTTAGATGAAATTGTTTCGCAAAAATAATAAATAAAATGTATTTTCTCTTAAAATAAATTGAATTGATAATGTAGTAATTACATCAAGAGGGATTTCAATTATGTTTTGACGTGGTCAGCACTTACTCACCTTAATGTGACTACGGGCAACGGATAGATGCAGTGCATTGCTACCTTCGTCATCAACGTCTGCCATGAACAGCTCAGAGGATTCTTTAACTTCTTTACCTAAACAAATTAGATTAATTAAAGTTAATTATTCATTTAGGTTACTGGTAGCGTTTACTGAACGCAATAGAACCTAAGAAACATCTCAAACTGAATAGAAAATCTTGGAAAGTAAGTAATTCATTTTTGTTATTCATTTATTTATTTTAATTGGAAAGATACGCAATTATGCACAAATAATATTATCTATTGAAAAAAACAATATATTTCTGTAATTATTTGTATTGATGCTTATGCCATTTCAGTTTGTACCTGATTCTATGATGAACTGCATTGTTTCTAAATTTCCACGAATGGATGCAAACATAAGGGGTGTGATATCGTTGATTTCCTTAGCTCTCAGATCAGCACCAAACTGCAACTAATCGCAAGAATACAACAAACAAAGAATAAATAAGTAAATAAAATTAATTAACGACAGAAGTCGGTGGCATGGGTTACAGAATCTCCATTGCTGTGTGCGCCATGTTGCATTATGCACGATAATTACATTATAACATTTTTTTTATAAAATCAGTATGCTACATATAACGTTAAAAGTAAAAATACAATTTCAATTGTGTACATGCATTCAAACAAATTATTATTATTAAGTTTGGAAAAATATGGTAGATGACAGGAATTCTTCCGGTTTGGTCGAAACTGGGTATTAAATGCGTTAATCTGCATATTTTGTCACAGAACTCGAGTTATCGGTCCGAAACGAACAATTCACAAATCCGTTACTTTTACTGATGAGAGGAATAACGTTTTATATCTTTTAAATAGCATCCAGCAATGGTCGCTAAGAGTTGATATATCCATATCGCAAGTATCAATGTGCATAGTTCTACCCGTGTTTTAATTACGTTAGGGAGAAGTTTATAGAGAAGTTTACTGTTAATGACAGAATAAATCACTGATAGTTGATGAGTAAAGATTAATATATTTCGTTACAGTCCGATAACTGTGACCACATATCGGTTAGCTCATCTCATTATGATACCATTGCGCTTTTCAGTCCTCAAGGATAATAATGCTGCAGACAATATTTGCATTATTTATCCATGACCCTTGACAATTGATGTGTCGATCTTTGAAAGATTTTGTATTACTTCATTATTACACTTCATCACTGTATATTGGCAGTCGTCAAGATCAATAGACCAGTGGACGACAAAATGTCTATGAAACAATACACGTCAAATCAATGAACGCTATACAGTGTTGTTTCAGTCAAAATCAGAATCAAAATTACAGGCATGAAAAATATAAACAGGAACACAATATTCAAACAAATACGTATACAGGCAAATGCACGGAAACCCGGCGAGCCGTACATCTTTAACAGTTTACAAAAGCGCATCCACGAAAATACTTGATCTCATCCTGATCCTGATTACATATGTCAAATGATGAACGCAATAAATGTAGATTTGAATTGAATGTGTAATATACACCTACCAGTCGTTGGCACATGGCCACGTTGCCTTGAGTGGCTGCATGGTGAAATGGCGTCATGCGATCATGGTCGCGAATATTTACTTCAGTCAGATCTGAACGTAGGAGTATCTACAATAGTTGAAGTTATAGAACTGTGCATTACTGAAATGATCACTCGATATAACACAAAAAAGTGATTTAAATTCAATTTACAATTCCATAAGATTAACAGGGGCTTACGATTATTATATTATAGCGGAAGCTTGAGAATACCTTGGGGTAACATCATAATGAGGACTTAAGATTACTTTGGGATAACATCATCACAGGTACTTACGATTACCCTAGGGTAACATCATAATGGGTTATCCCTAATTATAACTTGTGATTGACAAAACTTATAGCAGCAAAGCGTATAAATAAATTACAGCAAAAACGCAATATAAGAAATAGAATCTTGACGTCATCATTATTTACCTCTGTAGCTTCTAGATGGCCATACCGTGCACTAACATGAAGAGCTACTGCTCCATTGATATCGCCATTATTAACATGTGCGTTTGCCTTCAGTAATCGTCTCAGAATATTAGTAAAATTTCTTCTGGCGGCCAGGTGTAATGCAGATGTCTTGTATTCGGCAACTCTCCCGTTCACATCTAATAGTTAAACAAAGAGCTATTTTGTGAAGTAACAGTAACTTTAAGTTTATTGTCAGCACTTTAAATTGTGAGTAATATTGAGTAATTATAATCAATTTTACTGTAACGGGATCACGAATACTGACGTTGAATGTTGACAATTACACTGACTTCATTATAAATAGAAACGAAATTTTATGAATCTATTTGCGTTGGAACACTACTTTAGCAAAAGTATTTTTTAGCACACAATCAAATAGGAAGACGGAACGATAGACAGGGTGCGCTGATGAAAAACATTGGAATTGTCAACGTTTTTTATATAAACATTTCCTACAAATACTTTATGTAAAAATCCCCAAACTACAGACACGCTCGCATACATTTACATAGTATTCTAACATTCGTTTTGTTAGTTTCATAATCAGCGATACATTATATTCATTTCCGTAATCATTCATTTTCATGTGGTCGTCATGACAATAGGTGGGGTGTTATTCAGTTGTCAAGTATAACTTGTTGGGGCGCAAATTGGAAAATTCAATTTCCGGAATAGTATGCGAAATCACCGATAGAGTAGATAATATAATTTGGATATTGAGTTCTCTTGCCACGTGTACGCATATTTCACGAGATCAGTTGGCGATAACGTGGAATAATCTAACTGGTAATAAAAACATAAACATTTCGTCTACACTCAGTGACCGTATTGAAGCGTTATAACTGGAGTACGCCCGAGTGTTTTTTCTGTATTTTCGCTGGCGTTTCGTATAGCGTTAACTAACAACGCTATGACCTATCGGCGGAACAAAAATGGTGGACATATTTGAAAACCAGCTAGTGAACATACCCCTGGAAAAGCCTAGAATCGCATGAATCATGGAACAGATGGATCACGTATTGTTCTAAGAATAGAACATTTTAATAGTTCGGTATAATTCTACACATGTTTCGTACAGAATATTACAGGGTATAAATGATCTATTGTCACATATATCTTACATAAAGCAGTCCATTACTGGTTTATTCAATTGTAACAAATTGTTTGGTATTGTATTCGTGAGCCGGAAATAAATATTCTCTATTGGAATTGTATTGCTAATGTGTGTCCTTGGGTTATACGTACGTGTTCAACAACCCAGGGCAGATCTGACACCATCGTCAATTCAGAGTCTCGGTTTGATAAAGCAATATATTTGAATCATGTATTTTATTTGTTTAAAATTATCTCTTTCTGAATCTGAGTTAGTATGCTATGTTGTGTTGTGTTTATATCATCATAGTTTACCATATTGCTGCTGGCTGATGGCCGACTTTTCTCACCTGAAGAGGGGTATCATTAAGTGTAAGCTGATCACAATAAAGCTTCACTTAGGATATGTATTTCACATGGTAGGGCTCTACATGGTAGGGTTCCCAAACGGTAATTTATTTTATAGTACAATATACATGTCACATTCGCGAGATTCGGAAAGGATAGACAAAAGAAGACTTCAAAGAAGACCTGTCGCATAGAATTATGTAAAAATTATAAAATATAATTATGTAAATGATTACCTGCGCCCTTGTCAATCAACTCTTGTACGACGGCCTTGTGATTGAACCTGACGGCATAATGTATAGGCATGGCACCGATGTTATCATATTTGTTGATGAGAGTAATATCTTGTTCAAGATGGAGCTTCACAATGTCTAGTCGTCCGAACATAGCTGCCTGAAGATTAAACACCAATAACATTTATTGAACTACTTATCAATATGTATATAGTAAGTGTCGTCATAGTTTTTATTTCTAAAATGTATGGCGAATACTGCATAACATCTGAGGCGCTAACATTGTGGAAGTCAAATAAATATTCGTATGATTAATTCGCCAAATAGATGATACAATGTAATCTATTACTAGTGTGGAAAGTTATTAGAATATATCAATAAATCATGCTGTGCTCGAATGCGCAGAAGATATAATAATGACAATAATAAATTGTCACTTCACTTTCTGTTAATAATACAATTAATTACTGAAAACTGTGAAACTGTGTCATATATTTTGATTCAAAAGTACACGTATAACCACAGTACCTTGTCGAGAAACTGTGGTATAACTGAGTTTTTTACGACTTCATTGTTTATTTATATTTATTTATTTATTTATTTATTTATTTGTTTATTTGTTTGTGCATTCAGCTGCTGCCAAGGTTGTAAATGCATTTATTGGATATTTTTAGAAAACGGTTGAAACATCATTGCTATGTCATATTGTTCATGGCAGCTGTTGATGTGATGTATTACAGAACCCAGGAATAATCCCCAGGCTGTTAGATTTAAACGCTTATTCCACGATTATATGCAACCACCCGTTGCGCCCTGGCAAATTGCCACCTGTGAAAATACAAAAATTTTATCTTTTTCAAAGGTTATAATTGAAACACCATAGCGAACACATATTGACTTGCTATAGGAGCACTAGCATACGTCTAACCCCAACCAAGGGATTTTGAGCAGCCAAAACAATCAATCAGTTTATTTCCCGTGGCCGCTGATAATGTGTAAGATTGCTACACAGTACATACAATGCATATGTTTTAATGACACAAGTATCAATCAATGCCATTCATGACAACTAAGACTATAATTTAAGCATTGCCAATTGAATCAACGGCAATATAAGTATGTATTTATTCATATTATGTAAAGTAAGTAATAGAAAACCTGATACACAATGTACAATATGACTATTCGATAAAGAGCACACAATGCCCAGTGCATGTAATTTCAGCCTGTTAATAATATATTCCATTGTGACGTGTTCTATACGTAACAGATTGAGAGACTGATTGCATAACGCTGTATGACAATAAAACTTAGTATTCATTGTGTCCACATGCACACTGTCACTCCAGGTTTTGCTCAACAAATGTTTAAATTTAAAATGAATATTAATTAATATTAATAATAACAAATTCATTGCATTACACTGTTGTTTGTGGAATACAGAATGTAATTTGACCTAAATTAAAGCAATACGAAAAGCATATCATTCAGAACGTAATAGAGTATAGTATTAATAGTTAGATGAACGCTTGCAGGATATAATAATTGTCATAATGGTTGAGTTTACACCTAAAACTGTATGTTGTCATAATGCAAATTTAATTTTGTTATGTTGATTTGTTTATACTGGACATTTTTCCTTCGGGGTTTGTCTTAAGGTGTACAAAGGTAGGCATTCGTGTATGTCCGTTTCTTACTCGAGCTGGTATAATATTGATTTTTATATAACAACAATTAGTGTCCTTATAAGATGTCAACTGGGGGAGTTCAGTATATTAATCCATAAAAACCTCATCAGACGATAAATACCTCACATTATTTCGTCATCATTGACATAAACATAAACAACTTAGAAGGCACGAAGGTGTCTGGCTACGTAATAAACACGGCGAGACCATATTGCAGCGCAACATTACCCTCACCGCATTTTTTAAACTAATTTTCTAAATACAGCGATTTAAAGTAAGTGTTGTCCTGGCACACCACGTTCCTTATGTTGTCGTATGTTGCACGTCAACGTTGACAGATTCAGAAATATGATTTAAGTAGCGGGTTCACTATATGGAAAAAAAATAAACCTATACTTTGCGTTAAATGCCAGCAGTGTTCTGCCAGTGATGTAAAATATGGTACAACTTTTAATTTCCGATCAATAAATACTAAGAAGAAATTATGGTCAATTAGTAAGTGGCTTATTTTGCCTATGTCTAATATATAACAATAACAAGCATGACGTCATTCAATGTTCATGAGTTATTATTTAAAGACTTTCGTTACCTGCCATATGGTAAGGTCGTCATCGTCTTCATCATGCTCGGGTATCGATGTTTCCAGCCCAAGAACAAGATTTTTCAACACGTTTGCTTCGTGTCCCCTCGAGGAACGGCTTGGCTTCTGCTGCTGGGGTCTACGTTTAACGTGAGTGTCATTGCTGGGCACACTGAGACGGGTTTCACCTCCAGGGCCCCCTTCCAGGTTGTTAGTCCTCTCCAAACTTGGATTATTCGATCCGTTGCTTTTTGACATGTCTGGCGTCCGGCGTTCGCTTAATGCAATCATATTTGAGTGTTTCGTACGTAGAGCCGGAGTTTAGTCTCCATTCAGTCACAGTTAGATTAAAACAATGTAAATATGAGTTACTACCTATCGCATTATGCCCGTTGTAAGAATTCAACCACTAGGTGTGCACTTGCATTTATCAACGCGTAATTCCACTACACCTACAGCACTGGCGTGATTATCGCGATACCTTACATGTTTACCTTGTTGCCAACGCAGTAATCAACGGCTCGCGTTGTGTATAGTCACCGGTCCGTGTCTGGTTGAACCGTAGCGTATAAATCATGACCACGAAATGACAAAACCAATAATCATCCTGTCTCACCCTGTTTGTAGTCACTTTGGGTTTCACGCTTATAGACCCCGCAGGGTGTATACCACATATGTTAAGTATGTTGACTTATGATTGCCTCCTGGTACAGCTATTCGCACAAGGACGGCCTTTGTAACATGAATATTCATGAGCCTATTGTACACCATCACACAAGCCTGGACAAGCATTATGTCATATCACTTGTTAGCCTGATA